TGCTTGGTGCTTGGTCGCCATGCAAGTTGAAAGTTAGGGTAGTATACGACTGCTAAGGTGGATGGGTGGATTTGATTGGAGTTAAGACTTGGGTAGATTGGGCAATATGGCTGTTGCGAGGGTGTAGCGAAGGTATGGTTGACTTCTCTGGCTAGTTGTTGTGGCGGAGGTTGAGGGTTTGTCATGTTCTTTATCCTCTCTTGAGTTTCCTTCACATCTGGGCAATCTCTGGTGATGTGCCCTTTGTTCTCTCCATGAAAGAAACAATACTGCCTTCGCTGTCTTGGTTCCTGGTTTTTGTTCTAGTTCTTCCTTTGATTGTATTTCTTGCCTTCGTATTGCTTTTCTGGTGCTTTGTTTGGGGTCACCTCCGGCATCTGCTGCCGTTGCTGGCTGTTCCCTTGCTGCTCTATATTAAAAACTTATTGATCTGGCACTTGCTGAGGTTGTGACTGACCTTGGTTTCTATTGCCCCTCTAAGCATTCCTGCTGCTTCCTCGGTACTGCTTGTTCTGATTTTGCTCTTCCAGCCTTCTGCGAAGGTCATTATCTGACCTGCAATACTTCTCAAACTCACTGTATAGTTCTTCTATGGCTCTTGGTTTCTCCCAAGCTAGATGAGCTGCGAAGGCTCCAATGCGGAGACCTTTAATTGCAGCCTCGATCGCCACATCCTCTGGGACATTTGGTGCCGTCACTTTGAGCTGCACGAATCTCTGAAAATAATCCCTCAGGGCTTCACCTTGACTTTGTTTGCACTAAAATAAATCCATTGACGTCAGGGATTCGGTGGTGAACCCTTTGAAGTTAGCGATGATCTTGTCATGGAGGTCCTCCCATGAATATACTAAACTTGGCCTCAACGCATTGAGTACCACGTCAGTGCATCACCTTCGGCTACAATAACAAATGACTTGGCCAAGACAGTGTCATTCCCGCCTATGGAGGCTACAGCTGCCTCAAAACTCATGATGAACTGGCACGGATCGTATCTCTCATTGAATTTGGGTAGGGTAATGGGTTTATAAGAAGAGGGCCAGGGTGAGTTTTGGATTCCTTTGAACAATGGGGATTTGGAGGCTATAGTTCTATGCAGTGGTGGTAAGGTGTAAGGAGTGCCAAAGGTTGGTTGGGCGGCCATTCCTGGCAAAGAGTTGGGTTGGCTTTGATTTACTGAATGGGGCTGGCTAGGCGTGTTGGAAGGAGGCTGGGTGGGTTGCATGCTTTGTATTTTAGCTTGCAGAACAGCCAGCTGTTGCCTGATCTCCGCTGCCTGCAGTGATGCTTGGATTGCCCTCTAGTTTGCGGCGAATGTTACCGCCAACCTATCTCTCTCCTGTTGCGTACTCTGCAACTGAGCTTGGAGCTGTTGGAGAACTTGCTCTGGAGTTGGTTCTTGCACCGGTTGCTCCTCGGTCGCCACAAGCTGGTCTTCCGCAATGTCTTTTTCTATGTCTGGCTCTTTGGTAGCAGTAGCATAGGTGCTGCGGGTGCTACGCCTGGGCCTTCCCCCTCTGGTAGGCTCCGAAGGTGCTCTTGCGGAGTCTGCTCTCTTTCTTGTCATTGTGAATTTTGCTTGGCCAACACGCGGTGGGCACCAATGTTGAAAACCGGGTTCAAGCGGTATGTAATGGAGGAACCTTCGCCTGGCGGAGGCCCTAAGCGAAGGCCAAGGAATGACCAGTGGGCCCACACACACATTAGGGTTTCATAAATGAGTTCACCAACCCCTTTTTTACAGGGGCTCAAGTCCCCTTTTATAGTACACTTTGTGGCCACCTTCCTACTTTACATTTCTGTGTTAAACATCCGAGGCACATTCAGGAATATCCCTTGCTAGTGCAAATTGCTAGGGTGATTCAGTGTACTCTCATCTTGAACCGCCTCTGTTTTTTTGGGCACGCTGCTGGCTTGCAGACGCCCATGGCCCAGCGTCGTATTCCCTCGGAAGCTTCTTCCTTCCCGGCTGGAGGTCTTTGTGATCCCTATGTGATCTCCGCTCGAGAAACCCTTGCTGAGTCCCCGTCTTGCTGTTTGGGTCGTTGCCTTTGCTTGGTACCATGGAGCCTCCGCCTCGGGCTAACTCGGCAGGCCTTCGCTGCGGTCCATTGACCTTCACCGGGTGGAGCCACAGGAGCGAAGGCCTCTGGTTCACTTCCTGCACATCACTCCAAGAAATGGTTACCGTTAGTTCCTATTGCTGTAATGCGCATTGACCTTCGCGGCTCATATTCATGTCCCAACAGAAAGTATGAAATACACGAATGCTTCTTCCATTTAAACTTAATGTTTGCTATGACTTGTACTACCTGTAATATAGAAGTATATTAATTGACTTGTCCAAGCCTCCTCCTACCTGAGCTCACTTCGTTCTCATTTACTACCTAGAACCATAAATAAACTTTGCACATAAATGAGAAAATCTCATGGTTTTAGCTAAATTTTTTGTTAAAGGCTAAAGATGCATTGCTTCAGTATCAGCCAGTTCGTGAAAGCAAAATGTTATGTTTTAGTACTTCCTTCAAAAACATGTTTTAGTACTTTAAAAGTCTGATTTGACTAGTTGGTGGGCTTTAAACTCCCAGTGACCTATGATGATACTGCAGCTCAGCCCCAAGCAGGAAGTGCTTGACACACTACTTATGTAGTGATGGGTAAGTTGCTCCAACCGTTCACTTATATTTAGTTCAAAAAAAAAAGGGCTTATAAAGTTTGATAGTGAAGCAATGCAGCGTTACACGGACGATTAGCACTAAATGGGACAATTTCGGTAAAGATTTAGTACTATATGAATTGCACACCGAAAGTAAAGTTCTTTAACGAACCAAGAGCATAGTAATGCAGGGTACCATATATATAATAATGATTAACATAATTCAAGTGCCCGTCAAAATCACAAATTAAATAAATCAAACATATTACTTCCGAATTTTCCACACATTTTCTGGAGACTTCGTTTTTGTCGCATTTTATGTTTCAATATTAGGTCGACATATACACTAGTAGTAACCAAAATCAAAGTAGAGGAACAAGGAATTGCATGCTCAATTCAAAGCCAAAGCAAATCCTTGCTGTAGCTTCATTGGGCCATCGCGAAATGTTGTTCTTCTCTCTCAAGGGATTCAGGCCAGCCGTTGCTATCAGCGTGTCCATTTCTTTACTTCGCGGTAGCAAGTTCCTCTCAGCTATACTAAGCCGAAAGCAGTGTTTCTGGTGCGCAATGAACTAAGGAAAGGAAACAGGCCCTAAGTCACTCCAGTCCGGGGCGACTCGACTCGGGTAGCGACTCCAGCACACTGCCACCCACCCTGTCGTCTTTCTCTCGCCTCGCCATCACCTGAGCAAGCCGCCGGAGGCCTGTGAGGACAGCAACAGCGGGACTTTGGGCTTCTATTGGGGAGGTGCACTCGCCCCTTCTCTCCCATGCATGTGGTCTCTAGGCTCTGGCAACCGGGAAGGTGGCAACCGGGCTAGTGAATCGGCGCTCATATCTTTCGGTCTTGGAGTAGTATTGTGCACCTTTTAATTTGTGGCAATACAGGAAACGGCGTCTAGTGGTGGATGTGACGAGACCCTCGTGTGTTGTGTCCTTTGAGATGACAAGAGCAAGGTGTGGATTCCATGGGCTGTGTTTTCGTAGTTTTATTACGATTGAGGTAACCTTCGAAGAGTCATGATCTAGTGTAACCATCCTTTTGATTAGGGTGTGGTGCTACAACTGCACTATTGTGAAGACTCACATACAACATGGCTTTATTTGTGTGGTTCGGTTTACTTCTTTCGGTTTTTGACAGATTGGAGCCTTTGATGACCACTCACAATAACCTTGAGGGTGACATCTGACTTAGTGTCATGGTGGCGCTTGGCCTTGCATAGTGTGGCTATTTCAGCGTGCGACTGGCATTTTGGTGTTGGTGTCTCATGGGTTTAGTACCGGTCACCGTAGGTTATTTCATCATAAAAGAAAAAAAAAAGTAGTGTCTCCTCGCTCAATCTGCCTTTCATACTAAGAGGAAGTATAGTAATGGGCTATAGGTGGATATAATGCTGAGATAGAGAAGAAGAGGGAGAAGAGAAGCGAGTTGTAAGTATATAAGCAGTTTATGCACAAGAACTAAAAAAAACTTTATGTGAGAAAAAAGTGGATCATATATAATGTATGGATGGACTGAGAGATGGACTATAAAAATCCATATATACAGTAGCAGGTTATATTACTAGCTTGCTCTAAGACTCTAAGAGCCAAGATATCGTGCGCATCCAAAGTCCGAGGCCCCGTTGGGTTACCTTAAATCTGACTTGTTTGGTTTCATTTTTTAGCTGGAACAGTGTTTTTCTCTTACACAACAGCCAGAACCCTATTTTCTAGCCAGTTCAGCCGTTTCAGCAGGCCGGCCGAACGGAGCCCGAAATCGGCCACTGTATGGCCTTTCTTCTTCACTTTAGGGTGACTAGTTGGGCAAACACTTGGATACAAACTTGCACTGCCAACCACCCAGCTTGTCTTACAAATTGCAACCCAAATCTGAAAAGAAGCAGAGCACGCGGAGGCGAAACAACGGCCGGCCGGCCCACGCGCGGCAACAGCGAACCCACGGCGCCGGTGGTGCGGAACTGTGAATGCAGCTGTAGTGTTGCAATGGTGTGCGATTTCAGGCGGCGAGCTTTCATCCCCAACATGTTCTGACCCGGTTCTTTTCTTGTTTCTCCGAGAGAAGGTAGACGAATGAAGAAGTCAAGAACAAAGAAAAAAGTCTCATAAAATGGAGAAAACAGAGGGAACAATTCTGCACGGCTGAGCATGTGCCCTGTTTTTAACAATGGAGAAGTCATACCACAGGTAGGAACTCAAAAGTCTGAAACCGGTAAAGCATAATCTAGATGCAGAATGTGACAATAGCGAGATCAACCAACATAGTACTCTGCTAGCACAAAGGAAAAGGAACCTTATTAGCTCAGTATGAGGCATGCATCCCTGAATCCCTGATACGCTGAACGTCTCAATCATCAATGTCACGGAGAGAGTCAGCAATTTCCCCGAGGCCATCAAATGTGAACTCATTCAGCATAGAAAAAGAGCGGGCAAGCATCTGCTCCAGCCCAAGCTGCGAGCTCCGGACCACATAGGCGTAGCAGCCGAGAAGCTGAACGACACTAAAAGGAGGGGAGTCATTTGAGGAGAAAAATGTCGAGGAACCAATTGCTCCACCGGAGCACAGCTCCGTGCCGTCGCTGACTTGCTGAGGCTGTAGACGCGGACGTCGTAGGACATGTACTCGATGTAGTAGATGGAGTTGGCATCAACGGCCGCGAACTTGTCAGAGTCGACGGACAGGCACCTGCTGTTGCCGACGAAGAGGGCACGCCTGCCGATACTCTGCACCGGTTGGACGGCCATGTCGTCGCCGATCTTGAAGACCTCAATGCGATGGGGCAGCTTGAAAACGACCAGAATTTCTCCCGCGGATTCCACCAGGAAGCAACGGTTCTCGGCTTCTTGTTCTTCTTCTTCTTGGGTGTTGGAGAAATAGTCGTCAGTGAACTGATCCGACACCAGACTCGTCAGGATCTTGATGGCCTCAGGTGGCACAAGTGACGGCGACACTACCGTGGTCACGGGCTGCCACGTAGATGCCACCGACAAAAGGATTAGTGCCGTTGCCTCCATCCTCGTACGAGGAGAAGCTCTCGCTGTCGGGATCGGCCCAGTGAGTCGTGTCAGGATGGTCGCAGAACAGGACGAGCGCTGGCGGCGAGCAGCCGGTGCCGATCACATGAGCGACGACGACACTGACTAAGGAAGGCACGGGCGCCGCGAACCGGGTCGGCGTTCGGGTTAGCTGATTTTTTTGGTAATTTAAAATTCGGGTAAAAAAAATGCTACCTGATATTAGTTCTGAAAAAACACTACCCGTAATTTTAGGTACCCGATAATTTAGGTTTGGGTATTCCCGACATACCCGAATTTACTAAAAAAATAGCAAACTACACAAATATTCAGTGGCAATTTATATATAATTTCAGCAACAATTTATATAGAGTTTCAATAGCATTTTGTAGAGAATAATATATTACAGTCACTTGGTCACTTGTTCAAACAGAGAGAATTATATTATAATAAAGTGATAAGTTAAAGTGTTCAACTAACAGCACATGATAAATACAAGGAGACAGAGACAGATGTTTGGTTAGTTTGGGTACCGGGGATTTTACCTGAATTACCTAAACTAATTTTAACTAATCAAAATTTTTATCTGAATTTAGGATTGGGTACCTCGAGTTCAAGTAATTTGGGTTCAGGTTCAGGTAATTGAGGTATGGGTAACGGGTATCAGGTATTTTGTCCAGGAACCGGGTCAGGGATCCCGTGAACGGGTTGAGTAGGCACGCGGCGTGCGGGGAGCTTCTCTCCGCGAGGACGAGAGATCCGCCAACTGCGCCGGCGATGAGGTAGTACCTGCGGAGCACCGGCAGGCCCTTGCGGACGCAGCGGCCGGTGGCGGAGTTGACGTAGAGGCACGCGTCGCTCTTGTGGACCTCGTCGAGCATCACTCACTGGCGCGGCCGGAAGCGCCGGCTGTCGTTCTTGGGGTCGGCGGTGGAGGAGCGCCAGCCGCGGCACACGGCGCGGAGGTCCATGTAGTAGTCGAGGTCGTCGGTGGCCAGCAGGCGGTCAGCGATGCGGATGATGAGGTCCCCGGGGAGGGACGACCAGTCCGCCATTGCCGTTCGGTGCACAGGATTGCTTGAGAGAATGGGTTGTGGAGAGGTTCAAGCTGGGTCGCTATTCAATATAAATGATTAGTTGGTGGAGGTCTCGCGAGCATTAACCCATCGTTTGCAGCGGAGTTGAGGAGTTGGAACTCCAAACGTCCGCGCGGTGGGCGGCGGCGGCGGCGGCTGCAATCACTGCTCCAGTTCTTGGGAAGATGAGACATGAAGACGCCACTCTGATCGTTCAACTTCCGACGACCCACGTCAGTTCTCCAGGTTAGCAATTGGGCCGCGTGTCCACCATGCTTGGTTTTGCAAGGGCCGTGGGATTTATGGGCCTAATAACGATCTAGCAGTCGAGCCCATGTAACCGTCCTCTCCATGAAATCCCGGCCCCACCAACACCAACAACCGGCGAGTACCCAGGACAGGAGAAGTAGCTTCACGGAGGTTATTAACTGACATTTTCCCAAACGCTAATACTTGGACAGGGCCGCCCCCATCCAGACGCGCTCTTCGTGGGCCTGTGCAGTGGACATTTCCTGACGGTTTTTTAATTTTCCTGACTGTATTCGCACTGTCAGGGAATTTCAGCTTTCCAGTATTGCTAGAGGAAATGGAACCCGAGCAAGCTATATAATATTCAAATAGATCACATAAGATGCTGAATGTCTGAGAAGTCATCCGATTCGGAGTCATAGCCAGCAAGCTCATCGACCAATCCCGGGTGCAACCGTACAAGCTCATTGACCTGTTCAGAGCGAGAAAACATCTCTTGCCACCCAAGCTGAGAGTGCCGGACCTCGAAAGTGTAGCAGCAGAGGAGCTGAACTTCTGAGAACGGAGGGTCGACGGAGAGGGTGATGGGGTTGAAAGAATCTATGGCTCCACCGGCCCTCACTTAGTAGTATTTACATCGACACATGGACACGAGTGTGCACGAGCAACATTTTCCTAAACAAAAACATGTTCTATACCGCCCAACGATGCCCATGATTATTCGCGCTCTGATCACTAGGAATCCTTCTCGACAGCCTGATCACCGGTAGTACGCCCTGTCCAGCAGAGCCACCGGCCTGAGCTCTCCACCGTGGAGGAAGCTGGAGTACCACCGCGATGAGTGCCTCTGGTACCTCGTCCTCGCTGGCGAGCTGAAGTCGACGCCGTAGAGGCCGAACCGGAGACGGTAACCGAACAGGTACTCGAACATGTCTAGGAATGACCAGACGAAGTACCCACGCACGTTTGATCCATCCCTGGGTGCAGAAAGGAGAGTAGATTATATTTCAGAACAAGGATGCCATCATTTTCAGAACTCACCTGCTGCCTGACACAGTCGTGATGAAAACTTCAGTAAAGCAAGAACCTCGAATGCAGAGTTTACTGAATAGTATTGGTACCTGATGGATTGAAGCGTGGCCTCGATGTAATCCTGCAAGAACTGCGACCTGAACTCGTCGTCGTAGCTGTTTCCACCTGACGGATCAGGTCGGTCGGCAGCTCCTGATATGAACAAGAAAAATGCACAATATGACTCTATACTCTTCATATGATGTGCATCTGCTACGAAATGTTGTTCATTTCTTGTGAGAGAAATTCTGGACAGAATTCTGGCCAAGTTACCATTTTCATGAATCATGACTGCTGGGTTCTTGTATTTCACTCGAACATGCTTCAGCAATTTCTTCAGAGCCCATGGTTTGGATGTCTTAAAATCAATTGTCAACCTGATCGGGAACTGGTTGCCTGACATCAAGAGTCGTACTGCAAAAGTTCAGCTCATCCGTGATTACAACTGTACTTTGACCATTACAAAAGTATATAAGTTCTTAGGGCTCTTACTATCAAATTTCACAGCTGCATCACCCATGTAGTCTCTCAGTTTCTGTTTCAACCGATTAAGATCGGCTCTCACATGGACGACAATGTAGTGGTTAAATCCAACAAAATCGAATGACCCCTTTACTTTTTTCCTTTCTTCATCAGTGAAAGATGGTAGCCTTGACCCCACATTCTTCTGCATCACTGGAGGGTAGTCACCATAGACTATAGGATGCATGAACCTGAACCATAAACAGACGTTTTAAATGCAGTTACACAGTAAGTTGTGTGCCTAAAACCTGACAATAGAGTGGAACTAACCATCCAATGTGGAATTCCTTCATCCTCTCAGCTGCTGCTGCATCATCCGGAGTCTGTGTTGCGGGCTCAAACCACCAAGCAAGCAAACTCAGTCCAATTTGTCCTCCTTGCTCAGCCTGATCAGCAAGCAAAATGTCATATCTGTGAGAATGACTCATCCAGCAAATGTCAGTTTTGCTTTGAGAAGAGATGGCAACATATCAAATACACCTGGTACTTCTCTCTATACAAGGACACTGCCGAAGCATGTGCAAGAAGAAGGTGGTGTGCTGCTATGTATGGCTCTGTGGTGGAGTTGCCGCCGTTGCAAGGGAAGCCGAATGGTGATGAGCACCGCTGTGGTGGCAGAATTCCTTCGTCATATCCACCAACCGTTTCAATGTTAGGCTCATTGACAGTGCTCCAGTACTTCACCCTGTTGCCAAAGTTCTTAAAGCACGCATCTGCGTACGCAGTGAAGTCCGATCTACACAAAGGCACAAAATGCAAATGTAGTAAATAACCCTTCAATTCTTTGCAGACGTGGTTGCAGTAAGGTTCAGGGTTAGGAGGTAATGACAGGTACATGAATTTATGACTAATCAGCCCATTGTATTCATCTTGAAGTGCCTGAGGAAAATCGAAATGATATATCGTTACATGAGGTTGTATTCCTACATTAACAACAAAAAGAAAAGATGCATCATACATAATTGCATAGTTGGAGACTCAAGTACCAAATATGATTGACAAAAAATTCAAAGAAAAGATCAAATACCATAGCTCAGAAGTTCATCTATCAGATTGTTGTAGTACTCCAATCCCTTTGGATTCACAGCTCCCCGACCATCTAAGTGGAGTAAAAATTTTACATAAAAAATCAGTAGAGTCGAACCGACAATCGAATTCTGAAACACACTAACGTACTTTTTGTTCAGTGGTTCAGTTGATACTGTGTCTAAGGTGTTACCGGGAATAAGTCGAGGCCAGGCAATCGACATTCTATATGCATCGACACCTAATTCATGCAAAAGCTTTACATCTTCCTGTTATAACATGTAAAATAACACATTGATGTAAGTTTTTTTATAAGTAATTGCTGTAAGATTGAAACCATGATTTTCATCAGAAAAGTTTATTAGCAAATTTTTTGCTCAAAAACTTGCCTTGTACTTGTGATACTGATCTGCTGTTACGTCGCCTGTAGCATTGTCAGAAGAATGGCCTGTGGTATTTAAGTAGCACCTTCAGAATTATGAAGCTGAAATACACTAGGATTACTAATCAACAATAATGGGACCATAACCTTCATGTGTGAATGTGTCCCAGATGCTAGCATTTCTTCCATCCTCAGCAACTGCACCTTCAACCTGCATAAGTCAACAGATGCTCATCTAGTCATCTCAGTAAATAACCAAATTTTGGGGAACATAAAATAGGATTTTTATCATTTTGTATGAGCTGATATTTGATTTTCCTCCCTGATTATACTACTTTTCCAGCCCTTGAACTTGAACATCCGTACTGTAGTTTTCTCCCAGAAAATAGAAGAGATCGTCTCATGAACAATCCAATTGCAGAGGAAAAATATGCACCAAACATCATATCTAATTGCATAATGATTGAATGTATGAGAGTAAAAACCGTAACCCCAGTGCTACTTTTGCAGAACCAGAATTTCAAACAACGTGACTTTATTGCAATGAACAGGGATTAAAGATAGATCCACAAAATTAAACTGTCTGACAGAGATATATCGTTAAGGCAAGACTAACCAACAACACAACGCCATCTAGCTAACCAATGGAGGAAAGAAAGGCAAGGACTTTCGAAAAAAAAATAAAGGCAAGGAAGTGGCACATTGTTCGCGAAGTCTATTGACAAACTTCTTAGCTACTGGTAGATTACTAGAGCAAGAGGGGCGCCACAAAGAAAAGCAATACACATATGTCTCTATCAGCACGGAGATGCTGAACTCATGTGATCGCTTCAGAAATGACACCGCACGAATGGAGATCAAGAAAATTCAAAATGAGGCGAGTCTCCAGAATCTCATATGATCGCTTAAGAAATTTCAGGTCCATGACTTTTTGTTACATCTGATAGCTCCTTCACTTGGAATCATCGAGTTGCATTTATTTTTCGAAAAAACGTACTGATGTAGTGTAGGAGAAGAAGAAGAGAAAACGACTGGATGAAGCCAAGGCTTGGAAGAAAATTGGTAAAAGAGACTGATTTACTGAAAAAAATTCTTATGAAAGCAAAATTCTCTTTTATCAAAATTACTTTAGAGGAAATTCCAAATCTGTTTGACTTTCCTGCCAAGGTTTTCAATTTCGGTATTACAAAAAATTCAGCCACCCCCAAAATTACTGAATTTCGCAAAATTAGGCCGAAATTTCGCCGAAAGTTTGTTAAGAGACTTGCATATGAAGTATGCTTTTTCTAAAAACATTTAGATCTAAACAATATTAACATGATTTATGGCACATCTATTAAGTAGAAGAATATGCAACATAAACAATACAAAATATGATATCTAGAGTTATATAGCATATGTATTAGTGTATTACAAAATTTTGGATTTTTCTTTCAGCCACCATTGAAATTATCGTAATTTGCGAAATTTCGATGAAGTTTTGCCGAAATTTCGGTGAAATTTCACCGAAATTTTGAACCCTGTTTCCAGCCACTACTTTACATGAAAGTATTTAGATTTGTCATACTCATCGAAAGTAGTTTTTTCATCATCAGAAACAATACTTTATACGTACAAGAAAAATTAATGGCCAAGGGTATCCATTAGATATTTTTTTATGTGTAAATTGGAGTATTGGACCGGAATGGCTTCGTGTAGTTTTCTAACACACATTCGCCTTTCGCCATATGGGAACATACCTACCTGGTAGGCGGAGGAGCCCGCGCCGAACACAAACCCCTCTGGGAAGTCACTCCGGGTTATCGAGGCCGCCGGCGCCGCCAGCACGCCGGCCAGGAGGAAGACGAGAGCAGCACCACAGGAATAATGCGTCTTCGCCGCCATCGTGTTCAGTGATCCAGCGCGCCGACCTCCGCGGGTATCTTGGGCCACCGCGCGCGCGGAGGGGTATTCGGTAGGTGGGACAACGTGATGCGGGACCAGTGGCGCATATGGTGAGCGCGCGAGCGCGACCCCGTCTCCCTGGGCTCCAGCATGCGTGGGGGCGACCGCAAGACTATAGAGCGAGTACGTGGAGCTTCTGGTTCGATGGGAGTAGCAGCATGCAGAGATGTCACTTTAATTGACTAGTCATCGCTGATGTCAATAAGGAAAATTTGTTCCATTTTCGTTAAGTCTTGATATTCATTTTGTTCATCAGCTATCGTCCAAGATTCAATTTTATGTCTGAACGGTTCAAAATGGTCATTTCAATTCTCCAACTTTACTGAGGGCCTGTTTGGAATGCAGTAGTTTATAGGAATTATGTAAAAATTTCATAGAAATTAGTTTAAAACGTAGGAACATGAAAAATTCCCCGTGTTCCGAACATGGCCTAGGAGTATGTACGTCTCGTGTTTTTTCTCATAAATGTCAAAAAACAAATAATAAATTCAATATTATATGTCTTTGAACCGTTGACTCTTTCATTAAAAACAAAAATTTCTACTATCTGAGTTGATGATGTACTTATAATTAGAAACAAAATTCGTTATTATTAAACCTGGATCAATCCATGGTCTACAAATCAAACAATTAGATAGTATAAAATTTAAAATTATGATATATTTACGAGAAAATATTCCAATAAATGCCATGGTTATCATAAAATAGATTACAAGTTTTAATTTTTTTAGAAAAAATAAAATATAATTAAACATGTAGGCTGTAGCATTCCCGTTGACACTTTTTTCATGAATTTTATGATTACACGGTACAACTCAGACACTCACAACGCACACACACTTATCTCTATAAACGCAATCGTAATACACAGACATATTTTTTTACTATGCATATAAACGGAGAAATATTATTTATACAGGCAGTGCACAGTAGCATAGGTGAGACCGTGAGACATAGGAGACGTGGAGAACGGGGGCATGATGATGCATGAACACGCAAGCGTATGTATGTCTCCAAAGTCCCAGCACATCAATCGCTGAAATCGATGGTGGCGGTGGAAAGGATGTTGTCCCCGGTGGTGGGGTGCGCCGCCGGCACGTCGTTCACCACCGCAGTCCCCTGCTGCCACACGTGGGTGAACTTGCTCCCCTGCTTCCCGGCCGGCAGCGCCAGCGTCGCGTACACCACCATCTCCTTCCCGTCCGCGTACTCCGCGGCCACGTCCGACACCGGGAACGCCAGGTCCTCGGGCGCCGCGGGCGCCATGGGCGGCGCGTAGCTGTCGAGCACCGTCGGGTACGCGACGAGGCTGCCGTTGGAGTGCTGGAACGCGACCACGGCCTGCGTGCCGACCATGCCAGCGCGCGGCCGCTCGGGTTGATCCCCCACGCCACCCACCCGTCGTCGCCCTTGGCCTGCGGCGCCCGGAACGCGACGGCGACGGTGTTGGTGGCGGCCGTGTAGTTGTAGTGCAGCGTGGCACCGAGGCGCGGCAGGTCCGCGCACGACGCGTAGAGGCGCTGCTCGCCGCCGGTGCCCGAGAAGGTCTGGCTCGAGCACGGTGCCGCCTTGGCGGCGGCGCGGGTCAGAGGAAACGACGAGCAGGTGACGACGACGGCGAGGACGATGGCGAGGGAGACGGAGGCGCTGCTGGCGGAGCCACGGCGAACAGTGGAGGCTGCTGCTGCCATCCCGATCGTCTCAGGACACTCTCTGGCTTGGCTTCCTACGATGTTGGATGATCGGATTCACAGATATCGCCCGTGGAGTTGGTGATGTGCATGTGATGGTGAGAGGAGCTGCGTCGTGAACATACATATATAGGCGGGTTTGGAAAGAGGGGGTGATGGGGGGCGGGTAGAACACGGTAGAGTTTGGTTGGGAGGTTTAGAGCGGGAGTCGCATGGAACGTAATTAAATGCACGTAAAACGCACGTCTATCTGGGTTGGTAAGACGCTTGTGTGATTTGCGTCTCTGGTCGTCTGCGATGCAGTTGCGACGGTTGTGAACTCTGCTCTACTCATGTCAAGTCGATTTGTGTCATTGTGTGCATATGCCGGATTTTTATTCTAGAAGCACTAGTCGATTTCACAATTGATTGACAAATCGGTAGGTCATCTAAAAAATTTGATGACCAGTCTGTTTGCGAGCATGGTGTTTCTCCTTGGCAGATTTCACCATATAAACATTGGCAGCCAAGGACGTTGCAGGTTCAGGTTGAGAGCCCAACACTCAAGAGCATCGGTTTGGTTGGGCTCTGCTAGTGCAACGCTACTGTGAGCCGGAGTCGCTGATGAAGCCCTGAAAAATATGGCTTCATCAGCTCCTGCTGTTCAAATAAATGCATTATCAGAGTATTTTTCATACATAATTTAATAAATTTTATGAAAAAATGCAAATTTTGTTTTTTTTCTAGCACAAGACCTAGAATACACGGGTCGTAAACGGACCGAGACAGCGCAACTCTGCAGAAACCGGCCCAGCTAGTTTGAGGAGTCCGGACCGAGATAGCGCAACTCTGCAGAAACCGGCCCAGCTAGTTTGAGGAGTCCGCCTGGCAAGTTCTCTTGGGTTCCGCCCCAGAGAAGCCTAGGGTAGCAAGGATATCCCACTTACGTGGTGAAGAACAGAGAGTTTTACAAGCAAACCACAAAATGGTAGCTAATCGTGCTTGCGTGACGAAGAACGATTAGTTTCTAAATAAACTAGAACAGGAGCAATCGAAGCTCTCGACCGGAAGGAACCCCATCGGGATAAGGATGTGGTCAGGTTGTCGTAGGTTGGCCAGCAATCCTACGATGTTATCCTTGTCGTCGGATCAAGCGATGAACAACAACGTTTGGAGAGATTAAGTCAAAAAGAGATAAAAATAAATTGTAATTAAAATTAATTGTGTCTATTGGGCACCTCAATTGGCTCTACTCCCTATATTTATAAGGAGAGAGTGGTCTTACCCTAGAAAGAGTAAAAAAGCCCTTGTTTTTGCAGGTCTAGGACTGAACATCTTCTAAAAATCATAATTAATTTTGAACTTCAAACGAGGCTATCAATATACGTTTATCGAGAGGAACACAATGGTGTAATCTCTTCTTCCATTTGAGAAAATTGTGAGAAAATTGGAAAACCACCAAATCCGGCCTAACCTGTTTTGGGAACTGGCTTGCCTGTTTCTGCTACATCAGCCATCCAAAAAGCTATTTTCTTCGTCTAGGTTGTAAATACGATGATCCAAATATGCCTCAACGAAACATGATGGCGGAATCCGTTATACATTTTGAACAATTTTGGGTGTCGACAGTACCATTACATTATCACAACCTTTTGTCATTTTCCTATAACCGCTGACTTTTCTAAAACCCCAATAAACACCCAACCACACGCTAAAACTAGCTTATTCAACTCGTACCATATTTACCCAAGAAAAATCATATTTAGGCACTGCTATATACCACCCAACTAACCGTGCATATACATTCTCTATTCTTTCCACCTCAAGAGTGTTGATCACCAATTTACCAGATATTCCCCTCGAGCCGGAGCGTGTTGTTGATCACTGTGAATATGCTCCCTCAGGTAGAGCAACTGGCCTCAGCTCGCCACCCCGGAGGAAGCTGGAGTACCACTTGGCCGAGTGCCTCTGATACCTTGTCCTCGCCGCCGAGTTGAATTCAACGCCACAGATGCCGAAGCGCATCCTGTAGCCGAATAGGTACTCGAACACGTCCAGGAATGACCACACGAAGTAACCTTGCACGTTTGATCCGTTCCTGTGAACAAGAGAGATCAGTGTGTGATAAGGTTCCAGAGCAAAAAACGGCACCAATTTCAGATAGCTCATCGTATCAATTGCATGCATGCATGATCGTCAATTGCAAAGCTGAATGCTATTAATTAATTGCTGTACCTGATGGATTGAAGTGTGGCTTCGATGTAATCCTGCAGGAACTGTGACCTGAATTCGTCGTCGTAGGTGTTGACGCCGGATGGATCAGACAGTCCAGCAGCTCCTGAAGTGACCACGATGAATGTGGCACATGATCGAGTACAATGAAACATAGTCCATTTCTTGGGACAATACATACTTTAGGGTATCATTAGTGGCAAGTTACCGTTTTCATGGATCATCACTGCAGGGTTCTTGTATTTCACTTGGAGATGCTTCAGCATTTTCTTGAGAGCCCAGGGGGTGGATGTCATAAAATCGGCCGCCAACCCGAACCCGAACGGGAACTGGTTCCTTGACTTGAGAAACGGCACTGCAAAATGAACTAGGACGTCATCCGTTGTTCCGATTGTATTCTGGAGCATGATAGCTAAAAGTAAAGGCCCTAAGATTCTTACTGTCATATGCCACAGCCGCATCAGCCATGTAATCTCTCACTTTCTCATCTAGTCGGCTAAGATCAGCTTTCACGTAGATGGCAACGTAGTGGTTAAATCCGACAAAATCAAAAGATCCCTTTATTCTTTTTGCCTCTTCATCCGTGAAGGATGGCAGCCTGGACCCTACATTCTTCCTCATCACTGGAGGGTAGTCTCCATACACCATAGGATTCATGAACCTGTATTATGCATGAACACATGTTTTACATGTAGTCACACAAGATTTTGTTTGTATGAGACTTTAGATTTAGAGTGGGTCAAAATCAAACCATCCTATGTGGAAATCATTCATCCTTGCTGCTGCCGCGATATCATCGGGAGTCTGCGTTGCAGGCTCATACCACCAACCAAGCAAGGTTAGTCCAATTCGTCCTCCTTGCTCAGCCTGATCAGTGAGGAACAAAGCAAAGAATCGTATAAAAATGCTTCATCCTAAAAGGGCAGTTCTACTGAGAAGGTATTGCAGTAGCTCAAACCTGGTACTTCTCTCTATATAGGGACACTGCAGATGCATGTGCAAGTAGAAGGTGGTGTGCTGCTATGTATGGCTCTGTGGTGGAGTTGCCTTCATCACAACCAAAGCCAAAGGGGAATGAGCATCGCCGTGGCGGTAGGATTCCTTGGTCAAATCCGCCAATTGTTTCGATGTTAGGCTCATTGACAGTGCTCCAGTACTTCACTCTGTCTCCAAAGTTCTTGAAGCACACATCTGCATACGCTGTGTAGTCCTCTCTGCATCAAGGCCCACAGTCCAAAAGCAAATGTCACTACATCTCTTTTGGACGTGGCTACAGTAATGTGGAGAATTGGAGGCAATGGGAAAGTACATGAATCTAGGACTAAGCAGGCCCTTGTACTCATCTTGAAGAGCCTGAGGAAAATCGAAATGATAGATCGTTACGTGAGGTTGTATTCCTGCATAAACAGAGAAAATCACATCATATAAATCTGCACAGCTGGATACTTCAGTGAACAAATCAGACTGGCACAAGGTTCTAAGAAAGATCGAATACCGTAGCTAAGGAGTTCATCTATCAGATTGTTGTAGTACTCCAGTCCCTTCGGATTGACAGCTCCTCGGCCATCTATATCGAAGTAACAATGGAACAAACACAACCAGAAAATTCACGCTGTATGCCAAATTGAACTTCCAAAAAAGAGAGCACGTGGAAGAAACAAACGCCAATTTTTCTGAACCACATTTTCTAACATATGTTGCTGTTCAGTGGTTTTATTGGTACTGTATGTAAGCCATTAATTACCAGGAATAAGTCGAGGCCAGGCAATCGACATCCTGTAGGCATCAACACCCAGCTCATGCAAAAGCTTTACATCTTCCTGTTATTAAACGTAAATTTTCTTTACCTGTTAGTTGAGGCTTCTTATCTTAATCTCTAATCTGCAAAGTGCGTTTAGCAGCACTGTTGCTCAAAAGTTACCTTGTACTTATGATACTGATCCGCAGTTACATCACCTGTCGCATTGTCAATAGAATAGCCTGTGAAATTTCAACAAGCTCCTGTCATTAGAATTAATGAAGAAGCTGAACAGCACCACAGATGTAGAATTGCGTACCATTAAGCGACCAAACTAACCTTTATGTGTGAATGTGTCCCAGATGCTAGGCTTCCTTCCATCCTCCGCAACTGCACCTTCAATCTGCGCACAAGTCAAGGGGCACTGAGTTTAGTAAACAACTAGAAGTAGATTCTAGTGAAAGAAATGAAATAGTACGTTATTGTAAATTTTGTAGTTTGCCCTCAGAAAATAGACGCACGTCTCAGGAACAATACCATATACAGAAAACATGAACAGTTCCATCCAACACAAAACAGTGACCGGTGAGAAATAAGAACCGTAACCCAGTGCAACTTTTCAAGAAGGAATCAGAATTCCGGTACACGTATGCAGAAGTCTTTCAAATGGCATGGCTTTTTCCCTATGTATCCCCTGTAAAGCTTCTAAAAGCTCCTGTAAAATTTGTCGTGCCGTTTTGGGCAATTCTCAATAAAAATTCAGGTGCTTGAAAGAAGTAGTCACTCATTTGATTGATCGGATGTCTATAAAATAAGAAAAAACAATGTTGAGGAATTTAAGTTGTGGACCAGAACCTAAAATATGTGGGCCAAAAACCTAAAATATGTGGAGAGGCTCTGACAGCAATGCCAAAATGAAACCTCTGGTGGCCTGAAAAAAATGCAGCAAGCCAAAAAGAAAGGGAGGACTCGGTATCATCAATCTTAGAAGCCAAAACTCTACTCTACTCCTTAAACACCTAGACAAATTCTACAACAGGAAAGAGATTCC